TTTTTTGCATTATCCCGCCTATGCCACATTTTCAATTTCAAAACATGATTCCAAAAAATCTACCAAATCACTATATTACCTATCTGTGTGGCTGAAATTATGTTTTTACTTTAAATAAAAAAGATCACATAGAAGATTTTTTTGTTATATAATTTTCATACCATCTACCACGCACTGAAAAATTATTCAAAAGTCTTTCAAACCCAAAACCCAATTCGGCCAAAAATTCACTCACTCCATTAAAATTCGCCTCGATTAGGTCCAGAAAAAAATCTAAAAAAACTCGCAAACCCGAAACCCCAATTGAACCAAAATTCTCCTCCGCCGCCAGATCCATTAAAATTCGCCTCGATTAGCTTGAGAACCCGAAATCCCAATTCGGCCAAAATTAATCTCCTCCTTTTTCGAGATAGCCAGCGGCGGTGATCTCCATGAGTTCTCAATCATCTTCGGAGCCTGCTGCTTAAGTTTAGATACAGGTCGAACGAACCCTGCCGCCCGTTCGACGTGTCCCTGAAGACCGGCGCGGGGATAATCGATTCTGTGACGGTGAAATTTGGATCTATCGGCGGTGGAAGCCCCGAGTTTATGCTTCACTTCAAGTGCAAATATTGAGATTTTTCCGTTCGGAGGTCCACGGGAACAGATGTATCTGGCGACGGAGGCTGAGAATATGAGAAGGGAGACGGCGATGACATGCGAAAAAAATATAAAGAAAATCGAGATTAGAACTATCATTAGACTATGATTATATAATGATTTTTGTAAAAAAAAAAATTAGTTAGTTGATACATACAGTATCAGACAAGATTGGTTGGGATAAGATGGAGTTTTGCAGAAAAAATTGATAAAACTAGACAAAATGATGTTTGTTCTCAGAGTTTATTATTATTTAATTTAAACAATAAAACAAACAAAAAAAAATTCAGAAACATGCTACAAACCTTCGCATGCACCAGATCCAGATCCAGATCCAGATCCATATCTATTCTTCACGATCTTCATACGAATGGGCTTCAGTGTAGTAGGGATCGATTCGTGGGTAACCCGATCAAAACGGAACGTTTGTAACAAATTACTAACAATTTAGTATACTAAATTTCTAAGTTTGGCTAAGTTTCTGGAAAAATATCGACCGAATATGAGGGAATATTGTGCAGCGTTCTGGAAAATGACAAGGGGGCTTTTACTTTCCCGAGATTTTATATGGATAACTCATTTTTAGCCGTCGAATTTAATGGATTAATTTGAGTCGTTTGATCTGTGTAATTTTATATAATTGGGTCTGGTTAATGTTACTATGATCAGGCTTCATACTAGGCCTATATTTTGGGCTAATAATTGACGTCTTAATGGACTTGATGGCTAAAAAATTAAATTTAGACCCATCCAGTTAATTTACTCAAATTTTAGGGTTGATTCATTTACTTGTCATAGTAATGATAAAAAATTGTCCACTTAAAACTTTTAATTAATTATAATATTTTGTATGTAATTATTACTCAAATACAAAACATTTTGAATTATCTTATTGCCATTTTAATTTTTATTAGGAAATCCGACTTTGGTATAAAGTGGGCAATATTATTTGATCTATCTTATTGCCATTTTAACTTTTATTAGGAAATGTTTTGTCATTAATACATGTTTGAAATTATGGTATAAAGTGGGAGATTTTATTTCGGTATGAAATATCCGACTTAAAATTGGTATGAATTTTATTTGATATAGATAGAAGTGTATTTGAAAATTTTGAAAACAAAATAAGTGGAAGGAATTTTCTTTGGTATAGGTATGGAAGTCGAATTTTAGGTTCAACTTTTTTATAAAATCAAAATCTATTACTATATAATATAGTTAAGAAAAGCTATTCAAAAAATTTGAAATAAATAATTCATTTTCCTACTTCTTTAAAGTCATTTTCCCGTTTTTGTATTTCGTTTTTTACCATTTTCGGATTTTTTTTTTTGCCTTTTCCCGCTCATGCAATTTGCTTGAAATCCGCCCATGCAATTTATTTAAATTAGATACCGGATATTGTTAACTAAGATGATAAGATTTTGGTAAGAAAATCGAATATTGTTAATTGATAAGTGATATGGTAAAGAATCGGATAATATTATGATAAAATATCGGATATTGTTAATTGTTAAAGGGATATTGTTATTTGTTAATTGTTAAACAAATTTTCAATTGATATTGTTATTTGTTAATTGTTAAACAAATTTTCAATTTGAATTATTAATAATGGAAAATTAAATGAAATAAAATTGTTTACACCCAACTACAATATATACAATCACGACATACATCCAACCATCTGTCAAAAGGTGATTTTGTTTTTTTCCAACTCACATATCATTGAGATAAATTGCAACTAATAATATATATAAAAAAAATCCAATGGCTTCCTACAATGTTTTGTTCCATCTTCAAATCAAGTTTTGTTTATTCAACTTCAACTAAAAATTTATTCAGTTTTGCCATTCTTTTCTAATTTTCGTATTTATCCGAAAATCTTTTTCATTTTTACCAATTTGTTTTTTTATTCATGCGATCAATTTTCAATAATTCACAATAAGATAAAATTTACAAATTCGAATTGTTTTACAAATCATGTATGTACAAAAATAATGATTAAGATATTTATAAAAAAATATAATAAAGTATTACAAATTTGATTTGATTTACAAATCATGTTTGGAAATAGAATTATAATTAAGGCAGATATAATTATAAA